ATATATATAATAGGTTGAAAGTAATTTACTGTGGAATAAACACTCTATGTTTTTATATTTCCTAGGGTTTTCCAGGAGATATTGGGATTCCTGGGCAAAATGGCCCTGAAGGACCAAAGGTAAAAAACAAACAGAAAGCAGACTGAATGTGGATCTCTATTGTTTTATAATTTCAGTTCCTTTTAAATTTTTATTTGTTTATTTTTATTTTGTATGTATGAGTACTTTCCCTGCATGTGTGTAAGTGTACCACATGAATGCAAAGCCAGAGAGGGTGCTGGATCCACTGCAGCTAGAGTTACAGATGGCTGATAAATGCCATGTGGGTGCTGGAACTGAATTTGGGTCCTCTATAAGAACACCCAGTGCTTTTAACCTCTGAGCCATCTCTTCATCTCCTAATTTGATCTCTTAGTAAATGGAAAAAGTGTCTTATTGATATCAGAATGATTAATAATTAGTAAATTTTTTGTTTGAAATCCAGACAATTGAAAATTGTTTTCTTGGTTTGTTATAGTTATTAGTGTGATAGTATTTAGTAATTGTGGTGGTTTGTATGAGAATGTCCCCCATAAGCTCCCAGTATTTGGACATTTTGTCCACAGTTGGTGGCTCTGTTTTGGGAGGTCTTAGAAGGTGTGGTCATGTTGGAGGAAGTGTGTCACTGGGGGTGGGCTTAGAGAGTTTTTAGGCCTTTCCAGATCTCTAGTTGCTCTCTGCTTCCTGTGTCTGCTTGAAGATGTGAGAGCTTAGCTTCTGCTCTTACTGCAGTCACCTCTGCCACCATGCCTCCCTGCCATGATGGATTCTAATTCTTCTGGAATCATAAGCTCAAATAAGCTCTTCCTTTTATAAGTTCCCTTGTCCATGCTGTTTCTATCATAGCAACAGAAAAGTAACCAATACACTAATCATATAAATCAATCCAAAAATGTTTTGGAAATAAAAAATAACAAAACTCTTAAAAATCAATAAATGGATGAAAATTTTCTGACCAATAAAACTCCTTCACACTGTTAAAATATTCATTGATTAACCTGCCAAGAGTCTCATCCAAGAGGCTGGCTGTCCTCCTCCCAGCAGCCGACAATTGCCAATAGCTCCTCAAGTAGGGTTGGGGTTTCTTACCCACATCCCCAGGTCTATGGCTGGGGTTTTATCTGACTTGAGCTTATGTGGGACTTGATATATATAGTCAAAATATATTGTAGTATGTTGAAATTCACAAAGATCCAATTAATAAAGGAAAAATACCCACTTATCCACTGATTAGAACAAAAGAAAGCTTGAAGTAAGCTGGGCATGGTGGCACACACCTTTAATCCCAGCACTCAGGAGGCAGAGGCAGGGGGGGGTCTGTGAGATCAAGTGAGTTCCAGAGATCCAGACATAAATAAGAAAGAGAGAGCGAGAGAGAGAGAGAGAGAGAGAGAGAGAGAGAGAGAGAGAGAGAGCTTGATGTAGCACAGAATACCTGTAATAACCTAAGCCTTTTTATTGCCTTTACTGTGCAACTCTTGCAAGTTGTCTTCTGACTTCCATAGTATGAGACATGAAGACCCACACACTTATACACACAGAAACTGCAGCATTTCTTTTGCTAATAAAAACATTTCTTTTCTTAATAAAAACAAACAAACAAACAAAACAGCCTGACTCTTAACATCCCTTTCAGCCTGAATTGTCAAGAACCTTTTCCTTCAGATTTTTCTCTGAACTGTGTTACTCAACAAGGGCTCATTTGTTCTTTTATTGAAAGAGTATATACAGCAGGATATGGGGAAGTAAAATTGGACCCCTATCAGAGGATTTTGTCCCCTGTGACTAATTTAGAATAGCACACATGCACACAACTATAAACAGATTTTATCAATTTAATCCCATCTATTGTTTATAATACACATGGGATAATAGTTTTCATATGTTTGTTGTTTCAATGAATATCTTTGCTGTTTGCAGTGCTTTCTTGAAACATCCACAAACATTCATACATTACTTTGGGTCCAGGACAAAGAGGGGTCATGAGGGGTCAAAGCTATATGCTTTAGATTACAAGAGGAACTCAAGACCATGTAGACCTTTTTACATTATAAACAAGTTAACTTTTTGGTTATAAGGTTAAGTAAGAGTCATTTGTTCAGAGTATGCCCATATTGTAAAAGTCATTCCCTCAAGAAACACCTATATACATGCAGTAAGTAAATATATTCAAAGTTATAAAAGGATACTAACTCAAAGTCACATAGCTATGGAGTGGCACAGCCAAGATTTTAGCATAGATTTGATTGCCAAGACTGAGCTCTTCACCACTTAGCCAGGGGACCACATTGTAGAAAACACTCATCACCAGGCTCAATAGTTTTTACTTTACCCTACAGGTATCAGGAAGTAATCAAAGATATTTAAGCAACAAAGTGTAGTAGGTAGTTTGTATCTTTAAAAGTTAGCCCACAAGTCAATATAAAAGAGAGCTTAAACAGGGACAAAATTGATGACAGGAAGATGAGCCACAAAAAAATCTAGTCAGGGGCTGGAGAGATGACTCAGTTAAAGCCTGTACTGTTCTTGCAGAGGACCCAAGTGTGATTCCCGACACCTGTATCAGGTGTCTCACAACCAGTTGTAACTCCAGCACTAGGGGGAATCAAATACCTCTGGCCTACACAGGCACCTTCACTCATTTTTTAGTCTAGGCAAGAAATAATAAAGATCTGAAATAACACACTTATTCATTTAGCAAATATTTGTTGAGTATCTCCCAAGTAGGAGTCATTGTACCAGATCCTAAATGGAAAGTTCTAATCTCTCTTTTTAAGAAATGTGCCACCTGGGGGTAAAGAGATGACTCACTGGTAAAGTGCTTGCTTCACAAGCATGATAATGGATGGTCAGGATCCCCCCTCCAGTTCCCATGTAAAAAGTTGGGTGTGGTAGAGAGGAGATCCCTGAGGCCAGTTTTCTAGTCAGTTGATCCAACCACCAAGCTCCAAGTTCAGTGAAAGACCCTGTCTCAAAAAATAAGGTAGAAAATGGTTGAGGAAGATACTGGACATTGACCTCTGGCCTCCACATGCACACACATGAACACATATCCATATGTGTATGTGCATACACACATATACCATGCCTATACATATACACACCCAAGAAATGTACATGTATATAAGCATGGAAACCTTTTTAATAATCATAATGATTATTATACACAGGGATATGGGAACATTGGCTTTGCAGGAAAGGTAGCACTTGAGCTGACATGATGAGTGAGTAGGAATTTATGAAACAAACAAGTGGGATGTATGACACTCAGGAAAAGGGAACTTATGAGGGAATGGAGGTGCAATATTTGGAAAGTATTCAGGCTAAATGTTATTCACTGTTGATCTGAAATTCAAATATCATCCTGTATTTTGTCTGGCAGCCCTACCTGCCACCCATAAACATCCCTATATGAAATGATCTTTCTCACTTCCTTTCTATGGCCTAGCCTGTTCATGTCCCACACATGTTTTGCATCAGTTCTCCTCCTGACTCCTGAACAACCTCGTGTCATCAATTATAGCCTTTATTTCGATTTCTTGCTTGACTCAGAATTTCCCCTTTCCTTTGAAACTGTTTTCACTGCCAGTGTAGTTTAGGCCCCCTTCATTTTATCCAGGATTGGAGCACTAGACTTCCAGTTAGATTCCTGCTTCCAGCCTGGCATTTCTTCAAACCTACAGTCAAGATGCTAAATCAAAAGTCTGTGCAGAGTGCAGGTCTCAGCGTATAACTCTTGCGTTTAATTCTTCAGTGATCTCTTTTGCTTCGAGGTGAAGACTCACACTTCTTTTAACACAATCTAACCTTCTATCCATAACTACAGCATATGCTTGCTTTCATTGTCACTTCTTTTTGTCCTTTTGAGACAGGGTCTCCCTGTAGCCCCAGCTGGCCTGAAACTCACTATGTAGACCAGACTGACTTCCATCTCTGAGACCCCCCTGACTCTGCTGTGCAAGTGCTGGGATTAAAGGTGTGCACCACCATGCCCTACATTCCAAATCACTCTTTAACAGAATTGCCTCTGCTAAACTGTATAGATTACCAACTTGTTCAAATTGCTCAGCTTCTTTTATACTGTTTTTTTTTTAACACAGATACAGACTTCCTTCCTGTGCCTTCATCCTCTAGCCAATATCTATGTGTCACATATCACATTTTCCATGCTCCTCAAACCTCACTGGAATATTCCTTCCTTCCCTGTGTTATACTTCTCAGCATGTGTTAAACCTGCTCTTCTCCCGCTTAGATGCTTCTCTATTAGACTATAAGGCCTTTGATTGTAAATATGTCACAATGACCAGAAAAAAAATGCATGGAAATGATAAAAGATGAAAAAATGTAAAACTGAGATTTTCATGTGGGCTTCTGATATCATTGAGGGTGGATAAATTTAAAGAGGAAACTCAGGAGAACTTTTAGTGATGAGGAAGACAAGATCCTTATTTGGGGAACCCATTTGACACACAAAAATAATAGCAGCAAACCAAAATAAAATGTCAAAATAGGAAGTAGAGACAGATAGTATAGAGAGTGGCGCTAAGATGTTTCCTGTCTACTTTAGCCTTTGCTTGAACTTGATACCTGAGCATATTTATTTACTCATTCATTCATTCATTCATTCAGTAATTCATTCATTTAGCTTGTCCTGAGTTGCTTCTATGGATTAGACCAAATACTAAATGTGAGATCATAACCATTACTCAGTTATGATGCCTCTTGTGAATGGATTTCTAGTTTAGTGAGAGAAATAAAAAGAAACCATCACACACTGTAAGAAGTGCTGTGTAAGAGAGTTGATAATATGCTGTGAACACCTCAAAATTTGAGCCACAGGTTCTGTCTTGGGAAATTAGGAAACACTTGAGGAGAGTAATCATTGACATTGGGTATGTGGATTATGCTAGGTGGAGAAGCATATGCCTTCCGTTTGGAGATTCTGTTTCATTTATTTGGTTAGGAGGAAAAGAACTAAAGAAAGACACCTGACGTCTTTCATAAGATCTCAGTGGTGGTATGAAGAACTTCCTTCTCATAGTTCATTTAGTCTTACAACTTAAATGTTAAAAGTGGGTTG